TCATACTTATGACGGTTGCAAGGTTCCGGGGGTGGTGGTCATGTGTTCCCCTTTTGCGACCTCCTGACGAGCCAGGAGTCATTGGGGAAGCCAGATTCACATAACAACTGTGTTCGTCCCATTTTGCGACCTTCCTTGCCTCGGTTGTTAAGTGAATCACTGCAGTTGTCAAGTTAGGAACAGGGTTGAAGTGAGTTTCGGCCCATTGTATGACTTTTGTCTCGGTCGTTAAGTGAATCACCGCAGTTAAGTTACGAACACAGTTGTTATGTGAATCTGGCTTCCCCAATGACTCCTGGCTCGTCAGGAGGTCGCAAAAGGGGAACACATGACCACCACCCCCGGAACCTTGCAACCGTCATAAGTATGAGTCAAATTGCCAAGCATCCGAATTTAGATCACGCAGAATTTAGATAGTGCAACGGTCATTAAGTGTGGAAAATGGTCCTAAATAGGGTTTTTTCAGTGCCGTTGTAACTTCGAACGGTCGCTAAACGAAGTGTTGTAAACCGAGGACTATTTCCATAGCACGTTGTTTAAAAAAAACGAACCATTTCTTAAGAGCTGGAATCGTGCAAATTCAAAAAAAAGGGGGATAGTTTCTTAAGTTGGGTCCTGCCAAGGGAGAGAGAGAGAGGGAAGTTGGAAAAATTAACGCTTAAACCCTCCAAATTTTATTTTATTTTTTTTGGGAATCCGGTAGGAGAACTACGGTAAAAAAGATCCGGAGAAGATTAACCGCGTGAAGGCTCTTTACGAAGAACAGGATTTAAAAGCCGTTTATCAAAGCTACGAAGAAAACAGCTACCAAAAGATCGTGGCTTTAATCGATCAACACGCCGTCCGTTTGCCAGCCCGGATTTTCCTGGATTTGGCCGACAAAATCTACAAAAGGCAGAAATAAATTTCTGCCCAAGGAATCCGGATTTTATTTCTAGCTGGGACTTGAGATAAAAGCGGAATTTCTTTAAAACGGTTTGCGGGCTAATTCAGAAAGAGGAAAAAGGGAGGAATACTTTCCTTGCGTTACCCCCTCCATGGGATATTTGTTTTTATTTTCTTTCGATAGGGGGCCTTATTTAAGGAAGGCGGATAAGTTCCACTTTTTTTTTCCTCGGCAGAGGATAAATCCAGGGATTTATCTAAGGGATACAGGCTGCTTTTGTGTGTGTGTGTGAGAGAGAGGGAGAGAGAGAGGGAGAGAGCGATAGAGAGAGAGGGGGGGAGAGAGTGATAGAGAGAGGGAGAGGGAGAAGGAAGGAGAGGGAGGGGGGAGAGAGAGAGGGAGAAAGAAAGAAGATATTTCTCTGTTCACACTGAGAATATATCTGCTGAAAAAAACACCACTCTGGCAACAAGAAGGGCATCTGGCCAGTAAGCATTGAACTCCATTCAGTTGTCCACATTCTACCTTGTAAAGGTCATTATTAAAAGATGATGTATGCTGCTTTTTCCCATTTTCTTCATCCTGAGCCTCCCAGGGGGCTGTGAATCCTTGCCCCCAAGGGTCGACGGCTGGGGGTGATTGGCATTGTAGTCCGTTTAGGGAGCAGATGAGTTGCTGCTTGGACGTTACTGGTCTTCGACGCTGGCGGTGTCTTAAGGGGCCGGTTGGAAGACTCTGTACCACCAATAATAAATTATTTTCCAAATGGATTTTGTGTGTTGAAAAGAGACAACCGAGGGAAGGTCTCTTCTTTCTTCTTCTTCTTCTTCTTCTTCTCCTTCTCCTTCTCCTTCTCCTTCTTCTCCACCTCCTCCTTGCTAAGAAGTGTCTTCTTCTTGCTCAAAAGTTTCTCCTCCTCTCCTTCCTTCCTTCTCTGTTCAAACCATGTCAGGGAACGGAGTTGAAAATAATCCTCATCTTAACGCCAGCAGCTGGGACCGGAGTCTCCGTGGCTAAGCAAGGCTGTTCTTGAGTGCTGTCTGGTTTTATCACTTTTGTTTGCCACAGTGGTCAAGTTGTTAAGCGAGTCATGCAGTTTGTTAAGTGAACATAAGAATAAAGCACCAATAATAATAACAACAGCAATCATACAATGACAATTATGTGGTAATGGCAACCTGCATCAACCATCAGTCAATATTTGGGATACATTTTTAAATGTTCAGTTGACGAGTTTCATGTTTAACGAATAAGAGATTATTATTAATAATGATAATAATTATCTACACGGCGATGGATGAAACATGTAAAAAGCGATGCCCATTGTCACTTGGCACCATGTCCAAGAATTTTATAAGATATATCCACAAATTTCAGCTTCCTGCAATAACACCAGCGGAACTGCAAAAAACTGCGCTACTCGGAACATCTTATATTTTAAGAAGGTCCTTGGTTGATACCCAGGACACTGGCAGCAAACCGTATCAACCATTAACAACAGTCACTGGTATTTGTGATGCATTTCTGAATGTTCAGTTGGCTGAGTTTCATGTTTAATGAATAAAGTATAATAATAATAGTGATAATATAATAATAATCTTATATTTTAAGAANTTCCTCCCCAACCCTCCTCACTGTCCGAATCTGGCGGCCCACAACAGTGGCGGTCCTTAAGCGAAATCCGCGGCCGTGGAGCAAACTCAACTGTCCGCCAACACTCACACCGTGCGCGAACTCACCTCTCGCAAACCCGTACGGTCCAGGCGGCGATAATCCAGAGGGAGATGCTGAAGACTAGAAGCACCGTGCCGGGACAGATGGTCATCAACGTTTTCATGACGAAGCGAGTGTTGAAGTTGATCTTGTTGAGGGCCCCGATGCTGCGGGACGAGGCGTCGGTGAAGAGCTTGCTGTGAAGGAGCATGACCCGGGCGATGAGATAGAGGCGGAGGAACATGGGGATGGAGAGGATAATGTCCACGTCGGCCTCCGCGCGGGAAGGCGTGTACGAGAAAGCCAGCCGGGCCGTCCAAAAGAACTTGTACTCCCCCGGGATGGGGTGCACGGCGCAAACCACCATTTCCAAAGTGATGTAGAGGATGCGTTCGTAGGTCATGGCGATCCGCCAGTCGTCGGCCCCGTTGTCGATCACGAAGAGCTAAGCGAGGCGAAAGACAAGACAAACACAGCGATTCGGAGGCCGGGTTTCTAGTCCTTAAGAAAACCCCTGCCGATTTCCCCACTGCTGCCTTACGGGCAAGGCCTCAAGGGAGTTTCGGGAGTCGCGGCGGTGGGGATGGGTCTTTTTCACACTTTAACAACGTCCCCCCCGTCGCCGCGTGATCAAAATCCAGGCAATGGATTCGTATTTATGATGGTCGCAGTGTCCTACTGCGTGGCTTTCGGGCGAGCCAAGGGAAGCCCGATTCACTTAACAACCGTGTTACTAATTTAACAACTCCCTTAACAACGGTGGCCAGGAAGGTCATTCCACGGGGCAGAATTCCCTTGGGAAATGTCCCGCTTAGCAACGTGTACATCGGTCGTAAGTCGAGGACTACCCGTATCGGCCTTTCGACGCCCTCTTTTGTCAACCGCACCTTCCTTTCCCCTTTTGCTCCCTTTCAAACTTTCTTTCCACCCCCATTCAATAGCTGGGGGAAATCGATGATCACTCCTTGGTGCCCTTTTCTTTTCAAATGGAGAAGAGCTGTAAAGATTTCTGGCTGGCCAGAAAACAAGAGCAGGAAACAGACTGTTCTTGGCTTAGAACTGGCAATTACTGGCATATTGATTGGCCTGGCTTGGGTTTTTTTGCTGGCACGCAAGAAAATTATATATATATATATATATATATATATATATA